CACTGAATGAAGGCTAGCAAGTGCTGATGCAGTTTTTTTGGGTTGGTGTGCAAATACATAGCTCAGGCAACCACTTGCGAAACCTCTTGTTTCATTGGTAGGTGCATTCTTTAAATTGTTCATAATAAAATAATAGACTGGCTCTTCTCTGGTGTCCAAGAGTTGTCAATGGATGAGAAGCATTAGAACACATTTATCATTTGTAGTCTGCTGAAACAGTCTTGTAACCAATAGATTAGGCCAGTTCTTTGTTACTCCCTGTGGCGTCCCAGGGAATTGTGTGTACCTCACCATATCAATGCAAGTTAGTAAGGGTGTCTGGTTTTGGTCTGTATTTTGTGCTTGTATTGGCGATGGCTGTTCAGAGCTTAGGCTCTAGGAGCAGCTGTAACACTGGAAAATTAGGGAGAGGCTTCTGAGTGGCTATGAACTGTAGTGCAAGAGGCACCAATTAAGGGGTGTAGCATTTGGTACTAAAGAGCTAGATTTGAAGACCGTTTTTCCTTTTCAGATCGTAGACAAAGCCCTTGAAGAGCCAAAATATAGCTCGCTATATGCTCAACTATGTCTGCGACTGGCAGAAGATGCACCCAACTTTGATGGCCCATCAGCAGAGTGTCATCCAGGACAGAAGCAAAGTACAGTAAGTGCAAACATCTCTCAAGCTAAAGCTAATATGAGAATTGGTATTCTGCAGTGATGGGGCATTAAAACAGTTGCCTCTTTCTATTTCTAGACATTCAGACGCCTCTTAATTTCTAAACTTCAGGATGAATTTGAAAACCGCACCAGAAATGTTGATAGTAAGACATAATTCGTTTTGTATGATTCTTGTTTATATTCTTTCATCACAAAAGCAGAGCAATGTCTGTAAAAGTTAGTTTCTCTCTCTCTCTCTCTCTCTCTCTCTCTTTTAGTCTATGATAAGCATGATGGCCCCCTCCTCCCCGAGGAGGAGGAACAGAGAGCCATTGCTAAGATCAAGATGCTGGGAAACATCAAATTCATTGGAGAACTTGGCAAGCTTGATCTTATTCATGAATCTATCCTTCATAAGTGCATCAAAACAGTAAGTGGTGGGGATTTTCCACCTCCATATAAATTGAGACTGTTTTTACCTTAGGAAGAGAGCACTAATTACCGACAGAATGATTCAAAATGCACTGTAATTGATCCTAGTGATGTGCATATGCTTCCTGGATGAGAGTTACCCTGTAGTAAATGCTCTAGACATTTTGTCCTCAGAAAGTCCTTTCTGCTTGCTGAGAAAAACATACAGATCTGCAGAACCTCTATAAGCTGCAGGAATTTGGATCATACTGTTAGGGTCTTGACTAAGTCTGTTGGGCTTCACCGCTATACCATGTGACTACACATCAGGGACCACATTTTCATACGATTAGATACCTTGCAAGAATATTGTTAAAGGAAGCACAAACTGCCTTTTAGGGAAACTTGCAAGTTACTGTATATATTTTGTGTGTTAAGAACTCTTAATCTTCCAAGTAAACTTTGCGTTCTCAAGAATACAGTTTGATAGCAGCTGGTTTATAGTATTTCAAGGGATATCTTAATATTCACCTATAAACTCAACTTTTTAAAGAATACACAATATTCAGTAGTGGCCTTCTACATGAAAAGTTGTGAAATGGTAGCAAAACCACTTTACTAATAGAGTTATTTCTTGGCTTTAAAATGTTCAGCTTTTGGAAAAGAAGAAGAGAGTCCAACTCAAGGATATGGGAGAGGATTTGGAGTGCCTCTGTCAGATAATGAGGACAGTAGGACCTAGACTAGACCATGCAAAAGCCAAGGTAAGTATTGTCAGAGCATTATTGATTTATTGCCTAATAGTTCTATATTAATGGAAGTCTAGTAGAAAACAAAATGTATGCTAAAAATACCGTGTAGCTAGGAGGCAGTTTTTTTAAAAAAAAAATGTAAATATTGATGTCCCTCTGCCTATCCTAGAATAGTCTTAAGGTGTCCAAAGGATCCTTCAGCCTAATTTCAAAAGCCCTTTGCATGTTTTCAGTTCAGACAGACTGCTCTATCTGCCCCTTCCCTAAGAGAAAAGGAAGTGGCTGGAAAGCAGAAGGGGTGACCCACCCACTTTGGACCTTTGCACTATCCACCACCTGTATCCAGTTCCTGAGGGACCAGTTACAAGGGAATGCAGCCCTCGGCATGCAAATAAGGTTACCCATCTCTGTCCTAAGACAGGTTTAAAGATCTTTTGTTATCATTCAGGAGAAAACATTGTATCATTTAAAATGGCATGGTCAGTGATAGGTAGCTACTTTATAACAGAACTTAAGTAGGAAGGAAGAATGAAAGGTTTAGCATAGATCAGTCTTATTGAGACCTGGAAAGGGAAACATCCACTTTAAATTCTCGAACAGCATCAACTGAAGAGACATCCTTGCTGTTGTAACTTTCTGTGATATTAAATGGCCAACTTGACTGAACATGGCAAATTTCTTCCTTAACAGTCCTTAATGGATCAGTACTTTGCCCGTATGCGCTCCTTGATGATGAGTAAGGAATTGCCGGCAAGGATTCGTTTCCTGTTGCAGGTAAGAATGTATATTTGTTTGTTCTGGCAGGTCAGATGTTCTGGCATACATAGATGAACTTAATACTTCCGTTGCTTTGTGCTTAAAGGATACTGTGGAGTTGAGAGAACACCATTGGGTTCCTCGCAAAGCTTTTCTTGACAATGGACCAAAGACTATCAATCAAATCCGTCAAGATGCAGTGAAAGTAAGTATTTAACACACATTTAAATACATAGTTCAATAAAAGTCTTAGTGCAGGTTTCATGAGAAGTATGTCCTTGGAATTCGCCTTTGAAGTTAATGTATCTTAGATTCATTAAGTTGAATCTGCTTCTTGACTCTGTAATTAAACATTTTGTTTTTAAGGATCTGGGAGTTTTTATTCCTCCTCCAATGTCTCAAGGGATGAGAAGTGACTTCTTTCTGGAGGGACCGTTTATGCCACCCAGGATAAAATTTGACAGGGATCCACTTGGAGGGCTTGCTGATATGTTTGGACAAATGCCTGGTAATTTCAGTTTATTGTTTTATTTACTGGCTACATAATTGTTTTCTCATTTGAAACAATCATGAAATAGTTTACAAAAGAATAAAACAAAATATATGTACATACCAGTCTGGTGGTTTCAAGGATACCTTGTTACTGGGGGAAAGTCAAAGTAAACAGATATTCATTAAATGCCTAATATCAGCATTGAAGCCTGATCTCAGAAAGAGATCATTCGAAAGCCTGGGTGCCACTGCAGTGAAGGCTCATCTCCATATCATTGCCAAATGGAGATCTGTAGACTATAGCATGGACAGCAGAGCTTGTTCTGGTGGTTCTAGTGGCCTGGCAGGTTGGTATAAGGGGTATATAGCTTAGGAAGGGCCTTTAGATACTTTAAATGCCTTGATTTCAGACTGCAATATTGTGTGTGTTTGGTTTTATAGGTAGCGGAATTGGTACTGGTCCAGGAGTTATTCAAGATAGATTTTCACCCACCATGGGGCGACATCGGTCAAATCAACTTTTCAATGGCCATGGGGGACATCTCATGGCTCCTACTCAATCCCAGTTTGGAGATCTAGGCAAATCCTTTTTGAAAAATCCGGTAAATTACCTTTCTAGAATCTGAAGGATTAATTCAACTCCTGTAAATACTTCTTTGAAGGAAAACATTAATTTGAAGTGTTTGTAAGTGTTTGATGTCAAACTGCAGAAAACAACTTCTAATAGTTAATAATTTGTTTCCCAGGCCTTTCCTTTCCACCATGATTAAGAACATTTTAAAAATTGTCATTGTTCCATTAAAGTAGCTCTGTTGCATATTGGTGCTGCTGTATCATAGTGGTTAGTACTGAGTTAATGACCAAAAAGTCAAAAGATCAGAATTCACCTTCTGACATGAAATTATTTGGATATCTTTAAGCAAGCTATTGCAATAGAGCAATGCTCCCAAACCTTTTGGAGCATTGTAGGCACATCCGGAATTTTGAGAATGTGTTTTGGCTACCATTACAATACAGCTGCCAGGGGAGGAATTGCTTGTTCACAACATGGCTTCAGAGGCAGACATGGCTAGTCACAAAACTGGTTTCCTGGAAGGCATATTATTGCAACTAAATAAAAGGTAACTTGCATAAAAACTTAAGTATAGGAAGGGTCTGAAATCCGAAACACAAATCCACTCTTTTGAACCCACAGTTTGTTCCAATGCCCATTTCACAGAAGGCAAACTGAAAAAAAGGCTTAGAGACAAGTAGCTTGGACAAAAAGTGAGTACAAGGCATAGGTGGGGTCTGTGTCCCAGTACCAAAGCACATCAGCACACCAGTTTTATATAAGGTAAATGTGATATTCAAACATATGTTTCCTGCAGGACACTTCCTACTACCTCCCACCTAGTGTTTTCTAGGTGGCTGGAAACCCTGCAAAATGAATTGCTGGGCTGCAGCTACTCCCCATTTTTGTTTTCTCAGAATTCTTGGAAATGAAGATGGCATTGGAGTATTTGCAGCATACCTGACCCCAGATAATTTATTTTAAATCAGGAGAGATGAACAGCCTTACTCATGCCAGGGGAAGTGCCCATAGTTAAATCAGTACCCAATGGGGAACTTTTAAAGCATGCCTTAAATGATCTCCAAAGCTTTAAATGATGCTGAAGTGCTAAAATCTCTTGATAGCGATAGATGATAGTTTTCCTTCGAACAAGCATTCTAAGGAAAGCTAGTGAAGTGTTTCAGACACTTAACACTCTATATCAGAGCAAGTAATGAGATGTGGTTTCACTCTCCTTGAAAACAGGGGCAAAGCCAACTATACCATAATCAGAATCAGGGACTTCTATCGCAGCAACAAGGACAGTCCAAGGATATGCCGCCGCGATTTTCTAAGAAAGGACAGCTTAATGCAGATGAGGTATACATTGAGCCTGAACAGACTTGGTTTAAAACAGAATGCCCAATGATTATAACAAGACGCGTTATTACGAGGACTGGTGCTGGAACTCCCTTTCTATCTTCTTCCAGTTCTTTACTTTTTCTCTCAAGTCCTCCTCTCCTTCTTGCACCCTTCTTTTTTCTCTCCCCCCCCCCAAACATTCTTGGAGTTTCCAGTGTCCTGTGAGCAAGATTATGAGATATGAGGGCAATATCCTTAACCTAAAGAAGGAACAGTTAAAATGTTGAAAGTTTTGGATCCTGGTTACGGGGTGGTTTAGGGAGATCATGGTAATTAGTTCTTGTATCATGGAAATTAGTTCTTGCATTTCAGAACTAATTTCCACATAGTCATGATATTGATGAGGATAATTAATATATGTGGGCAAACTACAGTCCTACTCTGGTTAAGCGTGAGTCACTGCTGCAGTAACGGAAGCATGCTACAGAATTCTAATAAATTCACTCTTTCCACAGATTAGCCTGAGACCTGCTCAATGTTTCCTAATAAACAAAAACCAAGTGCCAAAGCTTCAGCCCCAGATAACTATGATTCCTCCCAGTGCACAGCCACCACGTACTCAGACACCACCTTTGGGACAGGTAAATACTTAATCAACTACTTGATATAAAGGTCCCAATGGATTATAGATGTGGTTAGACGTTTTCCCTGAAGTGTGTGTGTTTGTATAGATGGTTAAATAATGTGGAGCATTTGGAGTGATCATACCATTCTGTAGTCCATTGCATTTTCTGTGGAATCAAAGGTATTCACATGTACTGCAAATCTTGCAAGAGATTAGAATAGATGTTTTCAGCAAGTCATTCCGTTCTATTGAAAAGAAGTAATGCTTATAGGAAATCTCTTGAACTCTGTATACATGCTTGTTTGGGAGTAAGCCTAGGTAAACTTGCTGGCTAGTATGGATGTTTTGCACTAGAGTGTGGTGGTCCTCAGATCTCTTCATGGAACTTTTGTTCAGGAATTCCTGATGCTTTGGATGTAAAGGACTTACTGGGATATTTCAGCCCACCATTGTCAGCATGGCATTTTACTGGGTCCTGAGCTGTCTTAAGAATCATTTTGCTAACATAAGCTGATTAATACAACAGTTTCAAATCACCAACTATAATTCTGGATTATTCAGACTAAATACAATTTTGTGCCATTTGTTCAGTGTGCTAATGAGAACATCTATCTCTCTTGAAGCCACCTCAGCTTGGTCTCAAGACAAATCCACCACTTATCCAGGAAAAGCCTGCAAAGACAAGTAAAAAGCCGCCACCATCTAAGGAAGAGTTGCTCAAGTTAACAGTAAGTTTCATTAATCATTTTTGTAACAACATATTGAAGTTGCTGTAGACAATTTGGGTGGAAAAACATTTTTTGTTTTGTTATATCAGGAAGCTGTAGTGACTGAATATCTGAACAATGGAAATGCCAATGATGCTGTCAACAGTGTGAGAGAAATGAGGGCACCAAAACACTTCCTTTCTGAGATGCTGAGCAAAATAATACTTCAGTCACTAGATCGGTCAGATGAAGATAAAGAAAAAGCAAGTGCATTGATCAATTTACTTAAGCAAGAAGGGATAGCCACTAGTGACAACTTTATGCAGGTACTGTATGCAGATTTGTAATCTTGAATGATTACAAACATTGCTTAACATTGTTTAGTCATTTAAGCCAATATGGGTATCTAACTGGAGTATATTGAATGCTAGTTACTTTTTTTTTTAATTTTCCAGGCATTCCTAAATGTATTGGACCAGTGTCCTAAACTGGAGGTTGACATTCCTCTGGTAAAATCCTATCTAGCACAGTTCGCAGCCCGTGCCATAATTTCAGAACTAGTGACCATCTCAGAACTAGCTCAGCCATTGGAAAGCGGCACCCATTTCCCCCTCTTCTTACTTTGCCTTCAGCAGTTAGCTAAGCTACAGGACCGTGAATGGCTGACAGAGCTGTTCCAACAGAGCAAAGTCAACATGCAGAAGATGCTACCAGGTAAGGGAACAAAATAGTAATGACTTTAAGGGGGGGGGGGGCTTGAGATGTTGGAAAATGCTATTAAATACTCCAGACTTGGAACCTCAAGTGGTGGACTAAAGCAGGAATAGAGCAACACTGGTTCACGTTGACATGCAGAAATACCATTTTGGAAATTTTAAATATATGTTACAGAGATTGATCAGAACAAGGATCGTATGCTGGAGATCTTGGAAGGGAAAGGACTTAGCTTCTTGTTTCCTCTTCTAAAACTGGAAAAAGAGCTATTGAAGCAAATAAAGTTGGACCCATCCCCTCAAGCAATCTATAAATGGATTAAAGATAACATTTCACCGAAACTTCATGTAGATAAGGGATTTGTTAATATTTTGATGACCAGGTGAGATATGCAACCTTGAATGTTTTCTTTAGTAGTATAAATGATCAAAGCGTGCTATGTAGCAATTGTGTTTCCATAAAGGAAGAATCCTGATATTAATCCCACCATCTGTTCATGCATTTGATCCTGGTTATGTGAAGATGGAATTCATATGCTTTGTCATAGGTCTTGCCTGACTTCTCTTTTACAAGGGTGAAGGTTGATCAAAACTCAGTATTGATTCATTTCTACCTCTTCTTTCAGTTTCTTGCAGTATATTTCTAGTGAAGTAAACCCACCTAATGATGATCTAGATTCTTCATCTACTCCTTCTAAAGAGCAGTTAGAGCAAGAAAAACAGCTGCTTCTTTCTTTTAAGCCGGTAATGCAGAAGTTCCTTCATGACCATGTTGATCTACAAGTGAGTGCCCTGTATGCACTCCAAGTGCACTGCTACAACAACAGCTTTCCAAAAGGTAGGAATAAGATGGCCCCCTTCTTCCCAGTAGCTTGCTCTTGTCTTTTGGGGAGGAAGATGTTAACCTCATAGGAAAGGGACATTTTCATATCTTAAATGAAACATTCACTCCCTTTAATTAGGTGTGTATATAGATTTTGGAGGCATGAGTAACATGCTTCTGTTGTCAACCATAACAAAGTGTCTTACTGGAAAGTACAGATGGGTAGAAGATGTCTTGTGCTGCTGATGCTGAGGAAACACTCAGGAGTAAGATCACTGCTCTTCATCCATTTTTAATGGTAGCTCTTTAAAAATGGCAAATGTATACAGAAATGTTTTTATATAAAAATGGCAATGTGCTCTTTTGTTTTAGGCATGTTACTGCGCTTCTTTGTTCATTTCTATGATATGGAAATCATTGAAGAAGAAGCTTTTCTGGCATGGAAAGAAGATATTACTCAAGAGTTTCCAGGGAAGGGTAAAGCTTTGTTCCAGGTAAATTTCCCCTTTGCAGTCTCTAAGGGAGCAATCCTGTCACTCTTATGCAACATCTGAGGAGCCATAGGATTGTTTGGAGTCCCAGCTCTGAGGATTGAGACAGCATTTCAACCTCAGAAATCCCTGCATATCCCCCTGCAGCCCATCCAGAAGGGGCTTCATTAGCTAATCTCATGGTTTTGGCAAGGGGGAGTGTTGTGTGGTGGGGAAGGAGTTTAGGAAAAGCAGGATATCAGCTGTCCTGAGTCAATGACAGCCTCATTTCCTCTCCCTCAAAAACTCCTTCACTAGAAAGGGAGAAAATGGTGTGGGGCAGGAGGATGCAGAGGTGAAGGTTGCTTCTGTTGCTGCTCCCACCCTGCAGTGGATGATCGCAAATTTCACAGTTTGAAGGCTTATGTTCATCAGGGGTACAAGTGATAGGTTTCCATCCTAAGTTGCTATTAGAAGTTCCAGTCCAAACTTTTTTTAAGCAGAGGGTTTTTTTAATAAAGCTTCAAAGCATGGCTGTTAGAATGCATCCTGAAATGTACAAAGTCTTAAATTACTAATTGGTAGTATAACTGGGTTGCTACCTAGAAGGCAAGTGAAAGTGAAGCATATACATTTTCTGACTCTGCTGACATTTTCAGGTGAACCAGTGGTTGACCTGGCTGGAAACTGCTGAGGAAGAAGAATCTGAAGAAGAAGCTGACTAAACCAGCCAAAGCCTTAAATTGTGCAAACATACTGTTGCTATGATGTAACTGCATTTGACCTAACCACTGCGAAAACTCATTCCGCTGTAATGTTTTCACAATATTTGAAGCAGCAGTAGGTCAGTAGGACTTGCTTCTGCATAAGGGTTTTTGTAGTACGTCTTAATCATAGTCTACCATAAAAATATTTTAGAGTATCCTTAATGTTTAGATAACAGTGTATTAGCAGCATGCAATAATTACATCATAAGTTCAGAAGCAGTCTGTGTAAGGATCTTCTTTGATGCCAGTTACCATAGGCTGTTCATTAGAAATCTGAATAGCAACACTGAATACTGTAGAAATGCACTTTGCTCAGTGTAATACTTGAGTTGTTGCAATATTTGATTATCCATTTGGTTGTTACAGAGAATCCTTAACTGTAATCGATGGTGGTTGCCGTAATAGTATATTGCCTGTATTTCTACCTCTAGTAATGGGCTTTATGTGCTAGATTTTAATATCTTTGAGCCTGGGCAAGTGCACAAGTCTTTTTAAAAAAAGAAACATGGTTTACTTGCACAAAAATGATCAGTCAGAAGAGGTGGATAAATGCCCTTGGAAGTGGTCTTTGTGGGTGTGAAACAAAATGGTGAGAAACTGAATTGGTCCCTATTATAGTATTGAAATTAAGTCTACTTAATTTATCAAGACATGTTCATGCCCTGATTTTATATACTTGTATCTATCAATAAACATTGTGATACTTGACTGACTGTTGAAATGGCTGTTCTTTACATTTCTTTTCTACTAAAGAAAATAGGTATTGAAGAATGCATTATAAATTTGGTTCCTCTGTCGCCCATTAAATCAGGTACTCCTTGTGGTTAAGGGCTGCACTGGAACAGCCTTCCAGTTGTGACTGAGAAACAATAGTTTGTCAGTACACTTGTACTTCAGAGTCACGATTGCCTTTTGAGATGTGTGTAAATAAGCTCATCTAGCACAGTTGAAGGAGCTTTAGTGACAAGGTAGATAAAATTCCTTAGCCGGGACAGGCAACTTGGAGCCTCCCAGCTATTTTGGGTTGCAGCATGTAACAACAGTAGACAGTATCTGGAGGGCTGCAGATCAACTATCCAGTCCCTTCCACTTTCATAGTTTCCCTAGTCAAGGATGCCGTCTGTCTTTGAACTGGAGCTCCTCAT